CAAAAATCACGTGCTCACAACTAGCAATGAATCTATTCCAAAATTGTTCGGTGATTTTTATTAGGTTGCCTTTTAATATTTGTTCGCTATTCTCCTTTTAATATAATATATGATATAAATTTGTTGATGCCTTTTGTTATCTTTCTTTATCTTTTATTTTTATTTAAATCAAACGAACTAACAAGGGCATATAACAATAACACTTGAGCAAAATGAGGAGCTGACAGCACATGCAACAGCACCGGACAAGGTGAGAACCTGGGCAAATCTATTTGCGGGCAACAGATCTTCGGAAAATGGTATGGTACTATCTTACTTTCCCCCAGAAATTGTTGATGGTAACATTGTGGTTAAAGTTGACAAAGAAGAAATAGAGGAACAGAATAAGATATGGGAATGTGCCCTAATCGTCTATGTAATTGGAGATCTGCCAAGATATAAATTCATGGAAAAATATGTTGCTCAAGCCTGGAGTAAAGTAAACATACCTGATTTGTATCTACATGGTGAAGGATACTATATAGCAAAGTTTCACACAATTGGGGATCTAAAGGATATCCTGTATGGAGAGCCCTACACTATTAGTGGTAGACCAATTGTCTTGAAGCAATGGACACCAGATTTTGATATTAAGGCAGAATTCTTGATGGAGATTCCTTTGTGGGTTACTATACCTAATTTGCCTATGAGTTACTGGGGTAACAAGACACTAAGCAAGCTAGCAAGTGCCATTGGGAAGCCATTATTTGCAGATGAATGTACCATCAAGCAGACTCGTGTGTCCTATGCAAGAATTTTGGTGGAAGCTAATGTGACAAAACAGCTTCCCACTGAATTGACTTTGCAAGAACCATCGGGGAAAATGGTCCAGGTGCAAGTGGAATATGAGTGGAAGCCACAGTACTGTATAAATTGTATGAAAATAGGGCATGATTGTACAAAGGGGAAGAAAGCACACAAAGAAGATATCCTAGTAAAACAGACACAGGGGAGAATAATCACAAAATGGCAAGTAAAAGGGCAAGGACAAAAGCAACAAACTGAAACAAATGGAGGAATCAACAAACAAGCAGGGCAGATGGATAAGAAAGCAGATACAAGCAATGTCAATCCTGAGGCTCAAAAAGTGACAATTGATAAGGGGAAAACAAAGGAGAGTGAAGAATGGCCAGCCTTGGCTAGCAACACCAGAATGGCATTGAATAGAACAACAATAATGATAGCAAATGCTTTCCAGATATTGCAACAGGAAGAGGGGAGAAGGGAGGAACCAAGACCACCTGACATAGGTGGTGGAATAATCAGTCAATAATGACTTGGTTGTTCTGGAATATTAGGGGTTTGAATAAGCGGTATAAGCAAAAGGAAATAAAGCAGTACATCAGAGATAAACAAATAAAGCTGGCTGGTATAGTTGAAACAAAAGTGAAGGAAAATAATGCAGAGAATGTGATCAATAGAGTAGTACCTGGATGGAAAAAAATTACAAACTATGAGCATGCTGTGAATAGAAGGGTGTGGATCTTATGGGATGAACAAGTATATAATGTGCAACCTCTGAGCAAGCTTGATCAATTCATACACTGTATGGTAACAGGAAAACAGAATGGGATCCATTTTTACTGCACAGTGGTGTATGGACATAATGATGCAGAGCAAAGAAGGAGATTATGGGACCACATTAGGGGAATGGCTAAGAACATTACAGGACCTTGGCTATTGGGGGGAGATTTCAATGCAATTCTCAATGTACAAGACAGAATGTCAAAAATTCCAGTGAAGAATGCAGATATCAAGGAACTTGCTGAGCTATGTCAGGATATTGGCATCACTGAAATACCATGGAGAGGGACTATTTTACATGGACAAACAAGCAGGAGGGGGATGATAGGGTATGGAGCCGAATAGATAGATTGTTTGGCAATGACCTATGGATGATGAACTATAGCCACTTAAGCACTGAATATGGGGAACCTTATATCTCAGATCACAATCCTATGATTGTGAATATGAGGCAACCAAGGAAATTGTACAAGAGCCCATTCAGATTCTTTAATATATGGGCAAGCCATCCTGATTTTGACAGAATAATAAGGGAGGAATGGACTAATGGACAATCAACAGGTAAGATGGTGAGTATTTGGATAAAGCTGAAAAGGTTGAAAAGCCAATTTAGAATTTTGAATACAACTGAGTTCAAAGGAGTAAATGACAAAATTGAACAAGCAAGACAAGCCATACAGCAAATCCTAAGCCAGATGCAGAATAGCTATAGTGACCTGCTGCAAGGGCAAGAGAAAGAGTGGTTGCACAAGCTAGAAACATGGTCCATGGTGAAAGAGCAGATATTGCAGCAAAAGGCAAGAGCTACCTGGATCAAATTAGGTGATTCCAATAACAAATTCTTCTCAGCAGTTATAAAGGAGAGACAGCAGAGAAAACAAATAGAGGAACTACAGGCAATAGCAGGGGGCAACTTAACAACTCAAGCAGCTATTAAGGAGGAAATCATTGTATTCTATAAAAGCCTAATGGGAACAAGAGCTCAGGTTCTACCAGCAGTAGACAAGATGATAATGAAAGAAGGGCCAACTTTAACACAACAACAACAGGAAGAACTGATTGCAGAAGTTACTCACCAAGAAATTGATCAAGCTTTGAAGGGAATAGGAGGTGACAAAGCTCCAGGCATAGATGGTTATAGTGCAGAATTCTTCAAGAAAGCTTGGCTAATAATTAAAGAAGAAGTATATGCTGCTGTGAAAGACTTCTTTCACACAGGAAAGATGTTCCAAGCAATTAACTGCACTACACTCACACTCATACCAAAAGTGGCCAATCTAGTAACAATAAAAGACTTCAGACCCATTGCCTGCTGCACAGTACTATACAAGCTCATCTCCAAAGTCATAGCAGGAAGATTACAGAAGGTCATGCCTCATATCATCTCTGAAGCTCAAGCAGGGTTTATTCTATGAAGGAAAATAGCTGACAATATCATCCTGTCTCATGAACTAGTTAAATCTTATAACAGGAAGCAGATTTCTCCAAGATGCATGCTGAAGGTTGACATGATGAAAGCATATGATTCAGTGGAATGGGTGTACTTGGATCAGTTGTTAGAATACCTATGCTTCCCAACAAAGTTCAATAACTGGGTGAGAGCATGTGTAACAACAGTGAGCTACTCAATCATGATAAATGGGGAGCTAACAAAGCCTTTGATGCTGCTAAAGGACTCAGACAGGGTGACCCCATATCACCATTTCTATTTGCAATTGCAATGGAATACTTAAGCAGGCTACTCAAAGGTCTGAAGCATGTTAAAGATTATAAGTTTCATCCTAGATGTGGTAAGCTGAACATTACACACCTCAGTTTTGCATATGACTTATTAATGTTTACTAGAGGTGATAGTAAATCTGTCAATATCCTCCATACTTGCTTTATGAAATTTTCTGCTACATCTGGCCTCATAGCTAACCTCGATAAAAGTGCAATATATTTTGGAGGAGTGAGTCACATTATAAGGCAGGAAATATTGCAGAACACAGGGTATTCAGAGGGGCAGCTACCATTCAAATACTTGGGCATTCCATTGACAGGAAGAAATTGTCAGCCATGCAATGGCAACCTTTGATTGATAGAATAGTTGCAAGGATTTCCTCATGGACAACTAAGAAATTATCCTATGCAGGAAGGGTGCAAGTAGTCCAGCCAGTGATTTTTGGTATTCAGTCATATTGGGGACAAATATTTGTATTGCCAACTAAAGTGATCAAGCTAATAGAATCATATTGCAAGAGTTACATCTGGTCTGGCTCTAATGTAATCACAAAGAGAACTCTAGTAGCTTGGGATAAAATGTGCCTACCTAAGTCTGCAGGAGGATATAATATGCTAAACCTCAGAGTATGGAATAAGGCTGCTATCACCAGTGTATATTGGGACCTTGCACAGAAGAAGGATAAAATGTGAATAAAATGGATCCACATTTACTACATTAAAGGACAAAGGCTCATGGAGATGAACATCCCTCAACAGGCAAGCTGGATGGTGAGGAAAATAATGGAAGCAGAGGAAGTGGCTCAGCAAGTTCCTACAGTACTAAACAAGGAAAGGAAAACCAAACAAATATACTTGGCCATTTTGGGGAGCTATAGCAAGGTACCTTGGAGAGCTTTAATGTTCCATAATGAAGCTAGACCCAAGGCATTATTCACTATGTGGATGCAATGTCATGAGAAGCTTCAAACAACTGATAGACTTGCAAGCTGGGGAGTTCAAGTAAACGCTAGATGCTGTCTATGTGAAGGGGCAGATGAATCACATGACCACCTATTTGGTAAGTGTAACTTTACTACAGCAGTTTGGGGAAGGCTCATGCAGTGGATACAGCACCAGATGAACTCAAGGCAATCATATACACAGATGAAGACATAGATAGTGACACAAGCAAAAGGAAGATCATGTACAGCAAAAATTCTGAAAATGATCTATGCAGAACACATTCATGGGATATGGAGAGAGAGGAACAACAGAATATTTGAAAATACACGGAGAACAACAGAGCAGATTGCACGAGAGATAGCATGTGTTTGCAATGTCAGAGCCCAAGGTGAAATGAGGAAGAAGATGCAACCGTTTAAATATTGACCAGCTTATTTGTAACGATTTGTGTACTGCTTCTAAAATAGGATAGTATTAGATTTTATGTAAAGACTAAGTGAGTCGAGGAAGACTCAACTGCTTGTAAATGCTTCTTTGGTGATTAGTGAAAAACATAATTACCAAAAAAAAAAGGGCATATAAAATAATGCAATAAATGTACAACATAATAATGCTGAAGGATAATATAATATGTGAAAATAAAAAATGGGCAGCCTGCTGCACTAAACTTCCGCTATGGGCGACGTCCGAGTAAGGGCACGATCATAAGGATTTATACACAATCTCGCTCTGCATTTATGCAAGAGACGATTTATACGGTTCAAACTTGTAACCTACCGGTCGCATTTCGGCAACTTTACCAAAGGGTGTGAAAATAACTCCGTAAAATTGGATGATGCGACTATAAAATGACATCGTAAATTCGAACAAAGTCCTGTTGAGCGAGGAATGTACCAATACTGCTCCGCGTTTGTGATCCCGCGAAAATTTTGATTTTACTTTTAAGGGAAAAAAAAAAAAAAAAGAAGAGGAGAAATTACAAATTTGAAAGACACACATATATTACATGTGCGCAATTTCAGCACTCACACGAAAAGCACTCTCAGAATTCCTTAAAAAAGACCTCGACTCCATCACCACCGTCTTAAGGTCCATTCTTATTTCAAGCTCTTTGTTCAGGCTTCTGCATTTTCGAGTTCTAAGGCTTTGCTGATTATATAAAAAGGTGCATTCTCGCTCTTTTGGTCTAATTATATTTTGGCTTGAATCTATTTGGTAAAATGTCTCAATGAAGTAAATGAAGTAAATTGATGTGTACTGAGACTGTTCGTGCATTTAGTTAGATTACATTCACATTGATTTCATGTTCAATTTTGATTAACTCCAAGACGTTAAGTGATTTGTGCTTGTTGAATCATTGACTCAGTGTTAAATTTAGTTTAATATAAAAGAGAAAATATAAAATGGTAGAAATGGATGTTGGTCTGTTATTTATCTTAATTTTCCAGCATATTGTAGTGTTACTTGTGTGAATCGATTTGGTGAAAATGAAACGGAAATTTGCGCTTAAGATGGTTCTTGTTACTTTTATTTTCATCACTTGGATCACTAGAAGAATGCTTAGGCCCGTCAACAGACTGGGTAGGTAACTCTAGGTGACTTCATCGCTTATGTGCTTGCATGGAACTTTCTTGTATTCATTTGAAGGGAATGCCCCGATTGCTTTATAATGACTAATGAGGCCATCCGTTCAAGACCTGAGATGTCGGGTGCACGGATAGGATAGTGTAGGGTTTCTATTTCTCTTTTGTTTTATCTTTGGAATGTATTATAAGTATTTTTCGTCATTTCTTTTCTCTTTTGTGCATGCTTGTATTTGTTTGGTTTCAATCCCGTATTTGAAAAGCTAATGAGATCAAGTAAGTTACTCTATACAGGCTGGAGGGGTGCCTAATACCTTCCCCTCAGTTAACTGAACCTCCTAATCCGATGTCTGATTTGCAAACTAGTTTTAGAACTAAATTTTACAAAACGGTCTCAATCAAGAAGAATTCGAAGTTTTCAAAAGGTTAGCAAAGTTACCTAACACACTTAGTTAACAATTCTCATATTTAAGTTGGGTGGCGACTCCAAATTATTTTTCAAAACCCTTTTCAGTTATCAAATTGTCGCGGCATTCAACTCCCTCGAAAAAAGGGGATGCGACACGTATTAGAAATTGACAAGCCTCATGGCCTATGGCTATCTGATTGTTCCATATTGGTGCCCACAAATGCCATTTTATACTTGTCATTTGTTGCTTTTCTCGGATAATGAAAACAGGAACTTTTCTTTTGGTCAAGGTATAGACAACTTGTTCAGAGACGATAAAATGGGTGTAAATGAGTTAAAGGAGGCTTTAATCTTTCTCTGCAAAGGAGAATTCTGGAGAATGGCTGTTCTTTGGACTCTCTCTCTCATCATTTCCTACTTGCGGCTGTTTGCCCACAGCCTATTCTTGGGAAAATCCAAATTCAGTGATCGTTCTTCACCTTCACTGCCTACAACATCATCTGATCCTGCTACTGCTTCTATCAGAAAGCCTATCTGCATAATTACCGGTGTAAGTGAGCTTTTGGCTTTTTTTGATTCTATTAGTTTATGTTGGTAGTTCTATGTGATTCTAATCCAACCTATGTCACATTGACTATTCATTTTTTTCGCCAATGTCACAATACTGTTCATTTTGCCTGTATATCCATTTTGAATGGTATATGACTTATGCTTCTCATTACCATCCGTGTCATTTTCTTATTGGTGTTTAATTTACTAAGCATTTTTTTATCAAGTAAATAAATTTCATTAATTTACTCATTTACAGGCCACATCTGGTTTGGGTGCTGCAGCTGCCTATGCCCTTGCTAAAGAAGGCTATTATGTTGTTCTTGGTGGGCTTCTTGATGCATGCTTACTTGATATGATTATAAAAATGAAATTATGTTCTAATTTTACTTGTACTTATTGATTGCAAGTGCCACACAGATTTCCTGATTTGGTTAATAGATCAAATATGTGCATAGAGAAGCACTCTCCATGAGAACTATGCAGCTAACTTGCAAATCTAAGAATCTGCTTAGGTGAATACAGATGTTGTGTTAGTTGATCTTGATTATTGTAGGCAAGGTGAAAACGTTACCCCCTCCTTTTGCTTTTGCATATTTATCATAGGACCGTTAGCCATTTTATGTCTTTGGTTATATTCAGAGGGCGCTGCAGCTTTAGGAATTGCCTGCGGTTATCATTTAATCAGGAAAAAATCATTTGAAGTAATGTGTGTGGATTTGCTTCATCTGATAGATTGAAAAAGGCTTTGGTGGGTGGGTGGGTATCTTTGGTGTAAGGGGATTAATCATTGTTAAATTTTAACAAATTCGTTGTACAAGAAGATTGTTTAGCTACTTATAGCGTTTTGATGATAAGCTGTTTGCCAAAGAAATTTGGGAAGAAAATTCTGGTTTCCAATGATATAGATGGTGTCACTTTACAATAGTGAGGTATTTAGTTTCCCTTTTCCTATGTCTTTTTGCTTTCTTGTTTTAGGCCAGGAATCTTCTTACTTTTAAGTTTTAGGATCTTCATGCCACTCGAAATGGCAAATTGCTTTTCTGGTGATTTTAGTGAATTGTTATTTACTATATCAGAAATCAATTCAGCAGCCGGCTACTTTTGTTCCAATTACTTTTGCAATTTGTCTTTTTTCTTTTATAGTTCATGCAACTAAACTTTATACTTATCACAAAAAGTTTTTAATGAAGTTTCACCTCCTAAGTTGATGCTAGTATGGTTGAACTGACCCTCTATTACTTGCAGCTGGAAGATCTTTGCACTCGTTGTCAAAGGTACTGTAATGAGTCATTGGCCTTTATCTGCGTCACTCTTATTTTGCTTGGATATATTTTGATTAGTTCTTATTTGACAGATTGTTTCTGATATCAAAGAACAGCTAGATGATGCTTGTGTAAAAGCTTTTCAGGTTGATTTGTCATCATACAAGTCAATCTTGAGCTTCAAACACTCCCTTCAACAGTGGCTGTTGGACTCAGACATGCATTGCTCTGTCCAGGTCCTAATAAATAATGCTGGAATCCTTGCGACATCATATAGAATCACTGCAGAGCAATGTGATCAGTAAACTACCTAAATCTTTATACATTGCTTTTCTTCATTCTGGCTAATCTTCTCATGAAAAACTACTAGTTTATGCGTTTCATCCTTTATTTTTGTGGAAAAACTATCTCTTGCTAAGCCTTGTATAATTGGAAAAGGCCAAATTTTACTGAAATATGAAACATAATTTTAAAAAGCATTTTTAATTGACAATATTAATCCCAACTTGACTTATCAGATAAGCAGTGAATAGTAGTGTTTTTTTCCCTTGCATTTTAGATAGTTCTGTATGGAATCAACACCCTCCACTTCCCTTTGATGTGCAAGCAACTGTGCATCTTGCCTTAATTTTGTTGGAGAAATCTTTACTATCTTACCAGACTTCCATATTCCATTGCTAATCCATCTGGAGGATTGAAAAAATTGTAGCAGTTCATCTTAGTTATTTGTGGAGTTCTTTCATTAAAAGGACGTGACAACCGTAGGAACCTTGTCACTCCACAACGAGAAAATCTCTTGTGTGCATTCGCTTTCCGTTTTAACATGATAGGATCCTGCATTGGTGCTAATCAACATTCTTATCTTCTTGCAGGATGATGTCAACTAATTATATTGGTCCATTTTGTCTTACAAAACTGCTTTTGCCGCTTCTAGAACAGAGTCCTATCCCTTCTCGTGTTGTTAATGTTACATCATTCACGCATCGGAATGGTAGGTATAATTCCTATCGTATCAGTAGTATGTGCCCTCGATGTTCACCAGCATCATGGACACTCGATGTGTAAAAAGAAAAGGTGTTGGCTTGTGTCAAAAGCATACACGTAAACTACTCTTGTGCATTGTTATGTTGCTTCATATGCCCATCTATCGTAGTATCTTTGACATTCTTCATTTTATTTCCTATACTCTATATTCTTCGGTGTTAGAACTGCTGTCATTCTATCATTTTGAAGTTTTTTAGCTGATTAACAACTCAGCCTTAGAGATCTCAGGATGAAGGTTGCCTGAGCTAATGAAAGCTGGATTATAATAGATTCTTCATAGCTAAATCAACAGAAGCCAATCAAAAGCAGTTTGTGCTAAACTGCTAATAAACTCTCTGCTGAAAATGCTTCTTATATCCTGTTTCGCTTATCTTTTTTCTCCTGAAATATATTACAATGGAAATACATGAGGGTGGTTTTTTTTTAATTTAAATAACAATTGAAGTGGAGCTGCATTTTGTTTCTTTGAATGCTCTTTCGGTTGTTATTGGTGAACTTACAGATATGAGTGTAATTTGGCATTTTCTACTTTTGGTTGATAGTGTCTAGCATGGAGGTCACGGGAGAAACAATATCTGGGAAGTATTTTTCAAAATTAAGTTCCTACCCATTTGCTCATGTATATGAGTATTCTAAATGTAAGTTGAATTTGCCAAATTAAACTAAGCTTGGCTACCTTGAGCTCATTGGCACCTAAAAACTCTGGCCACTTCTCTTGCAGTATGCCTTCTGCTCTTGACATATGAGCTTCATCGACGAGTTGGTCTGGTGGAGAAATCTCAGAATGTCTCTGTCATGTATGTTTATGTTCTCCTTTATCAAGCAAATGTTATGTTCTCTCTGTCACCTCCTAAATCATTATGCTTATCAATTTTCTTCTATACCTTTCAAGAATGTCTTTTGTTTATTAAGGTAAAACTTATCTTTTGTGTTGGTTTGTAGAGGTTAATGCATACTTATCCCTATGGTGTCACCTGCTTGTTCGTTGCCAGTTACTTAGAAGCTAAATTATAGGCTAATTCTTCTTTCATTGTTTATGCATATGTTAGAGTGAAAATTAAGATTTCTGAGGTGTAATGTGATAGTTGCATAAAAACGATAGCATGTAGTTATGTGATCTGATTGATCGTCTAGAGTAAAGTGGTTCTAGAGCAAAGAGCGTTTGAAAGAAAATTGCTCTTGGCTATGTTAATCTATTTTCAGCCTCTCTATCTAAGTGGAGACTGTAAGTGTTAGAATGTAAAGAAGTTATTGCATGCCTCTCAATCAGAAGCAAGCATTGGATATACAGTGAGAACTGCTGAATGTGGAAAACAAGGAAATGTTTGTTATTTTCAACTTTTTAGCTTCTAAGATTTCTTTCTTATTTGATGTCTTTCTTTAGTAAATTGGCTCATGTAACCCTAACAGATCAAAGAGCTCTTTCGATGTCTTAATTGGTGTATTTTTGTTTTTTTTGGGATAAGGGTCTTAAGTGGTGATTTTATTTGCCTGAACACTTATATTTTGGTTTCTGGAATGATGAAGTGCTGTAGATCCTGGAGTAGTGAAAACCAACATTATGCGAGAAATTCCTTCATGCCTCTCATGGTTGGCGTTTTCCGCTTCGAAACTTTTGGGGCTTTTGCAATCTCCTGAAGTAGGAGTCCGCTCTGTTCTTGATGCAGTTCATGCGCCACCAGTGAGTCTCTCCTTTTATCATCTGTTTTGTGATGTGCTTCAATTGGCTCAATTCTTCCATTATTCTTTGATTTGATTTCCTGTTTGGTCGATGTCTGCAATTTTCTGATAGAACCTGAAGGAAAAAGTTCTTTGCAACATTCTTCTTAATGAAATTTGGCTAAAATACTTGTGTCGTCGATAGATTCCCCCGCATATAGTAGTTTTAATGAAGAACAGTCTCCTATGAATAAGTTCGGCTAAGGTCAAACAGCAAATGGGATTGATAAATCATGTGTATTGGATGTTCTTGGCTATTATCTGGGATTCCTCATGCTTTGATGACTGTACCAGGAAACCTCAGGAGTATACTTCTTTGGAGGAAATGGTAGAACTCTAAGATCTTCTCAGCTTTCTTACAACTCCAAACTTGCAAAGGGTCTTTGGGATACGTCGTCTCAAATTCATCTTGAATTTCAGCTTGCTTCTCAAGGTACAACTTGACCAGAGACCTTAGAGTGGCAACTTTCGTCAAGGATGTATGAAGCATGGCCTTGATTTTCATATAAAAATTACAAATATCTTTTATACGTTCTGGAAGAGGTTCCAGTTAGTATATTGATGTTTCATTGGGTTCCTTGCCAAGTCCTGTTACGTTATTAGTTATTAAAGTTAGGCAAATATGTGGCCATAATTACTTTTTATTATGCATTCCTCAATATTCTTCATTGTTTACTTTAATGTACTTACTTTAACCAACTATACTAATGAACTCGAACTACCTATACTTGGTTGTAATGTAATTAGTCATGGATAAGTTGCAACCAAGCCTTTGAGCATCTTTTCCATTCTTAAAGCTATATTTTGTAGTAATCTTTGAAAGTCTTAATGCCTCAAAACTTAGCACTTGTACCTCTTTGGTCACTCTTCAATCCAAGATGTATTTGATAGGTAATACATAGTATGATTTACTCTTGAGGGTTTGCACAACAATTAATCAGTCCTATAAGTTTATATTCTTCTTTATAATACCATCATACTTGGAAACTTATGAAATGCTAATGAAGTGGTAAGTGACGGATGGTATGCCATTGTAGGGAACTTGGAGAACAATTAGATGAACTATTTCAGGGTCAAGCTTCAAAGGTTAGTGTCTCTGTCACTCTGTGTGTCTGTGTGTGCGCGTGTCTCTGTCACTCTCCGTGTGTATGTGCGCGTGTGTCTCTGTCACTCTGTGCGTGTGTGTGTGACTCTGTGTAGGTGTTTGACTGTATATTTATAAACAAATATTGAAGATGAACTAAAGGCCCTTTGTGAAGCTTTTTAACATCCCTTGTCATAGTCTTTTGTTTCTCTCTAAAAGAGGGGTAGTTAGCCTATTAATCTTGAAATTCAAAGTTTTGAAAAGCCATATCCATCTTTTATTCATTCATCCAATATCTAGCTACTCTGTTGTATTTGAAATCAGGGTGGCACAACTCGAGTGCATGTTCTTTTTCTAGAATCTTTAAAATTTCATGTTGAATACAAGTTGGAAAAATTAGAGTGAAGCAAATATCTTCCTGCTAAAAGATGTTAGTCATAAGGCACGTTACGAAGTCTCATCAAATTATATTTTAAAAAATTTCTAAAAAAATAAAAAATAGAACAAATTAAATGACAAAAAAAATAATAGAATACAAGTGTTGATTTAGTGAACGGCCTATTATTGAAATGGGGTCCTCTCTTTCTACTAGATGTGTTTGTGAACGCACGCCTGATTGTGACAGGTTAAAAATGATCATAGAACTACTAGGTTCACTAGTCTAAAATTAAACTTTAAATGGTAGGAAACTAAGAATAATAGGCAATAATAAATAAACTTCTCCTAAAAAAAAGGGATCTGTCTAGAAAATAGCTGTCCGGATTCATTGTTTATTTTTCCTAATCGGTATATATAAATTATCGATCGGTATTATATATATATATAAAGTTGGCTATTTTTAGTTTAGCGATAAGGTGGCCAGGCATTTAGATTAATGCTTCAAAAAATGCAAGAATCTGATTATGATGCTTTTGTTTGTTTATTAGCCAAATATCTGAACTAGACAAGATTAAGAGACTTTTTTTTTCAGTGGACTTGAGGTCAAGAGTAATTCAACTTAGACGAAGAAATGAGAAAGATAAGTGAATGATCCTGCATTTGCAAATAAGCACGTGCATGTCATGACCAAAACTGAGGAAGAAGAAACCCAGGTTCCTCATTGAAGAGTGGAAATCACGCTCAGATAAATAGTACCAAAAATTCTCTATTTTTATACTGAAATAAGAATTTCTGATAAGGTTGAAAGACTCCAAGAAAGTAAAAAAAGACAGTCCGATGCACGAAGTTTCTTGCGTTTACACAGGGTTCGGGGGAAGGGTTGCATCTCAAGAGGATGTGATGTAGGCAGTCTACCCTGATGCAAACATCAACGGATGATTTTACGGCTCGAACCTGTGACCTATATCAGTGACGGTTAAGGTTGTGGGTGCTCATTTCCTTTAACATAAATTTGCTACCAATTATATAGTATAAATGCACGACTATTCTAACGCGACAGTGTAAAAAGTTAATGAGAAAACACCGGTATCACTACCAAAACAACTTCTAATCATAAAGTCACAATGAACTTTGTACAAAGCATGAACAATAAGCATGGAAATAAATCCAAAATCCCTTTACTAAATGTTTCAATCTCTAGCTTTAATAAAAACATAATCTCTTGGTCATTTGGTGTTTAGTAGAAGCTAATTTTGTCCTGGATGAGATAAAGTCTAAAGGAAATAGGGAAAGTAAAAAAAGAAAACTAAAAGAAAAGGTCAAAGCCAGAGCATTGAAAAGGCAGACAAAAATAGCTAGCCTTGAAAAGTAACAGGCTTAGCGAAATGCTGTCCCAATTCGGAATGAACTCGTGTGGCTTAAAAAAATGCTCTTAACTTCACCTTTGAACCAAAGCACCCATGAGCCTTTTTGGTTCGTGAGTGCTTACCAATTGTCTATATTATTTTCGTAGGTTTTCTTATATAACAGTGCATAGTTCACGCCGGCGTCAATGGGTGCTTCAGCACCCGGCACGGACTACGTAGATCCGCCCATGCCTATATGTCACATAGAGACAACTTTATTGCTCCAGGACTCCTAGAAAATACAGAAAAAATGACAAACAATACTTTAAAAGATAAAAATGCTAAGAAAAGAAATTATGTGTTAGGCTATTGATAAAGACAAAATGGAAGTAGCACCATTTTTGTCTTACAGTCAATTGCTAGCTATAGTCTATGATGGGGTAAATAGTTACTAATTGGGTCCCAACTTCCAAACTATGCTTTGCATCCTCAATTCAAGTTCTAGTACTGTAAGCTTTACAAGAGGTTTAATTTGTTTATATAAAACCTAAACATATCGAGGTTGATTATCACTTTGTTTAAGAGAATGACACTCGAGATGAAATAATTGATGACAAAAAGTGTATGATCATCTCATCTAAAAGTTTAAATTATTAGAGAGAGTATACTCTTATTTTTAGTTATATTTTCAACTCGTCCCCTCACATGCAGAGTTGATTCTCTTCTATGGGCCAAGCTTGTGGAAATTCTTCTCGAACTCAGGACTTCTGTCTACTCTGATACCATATTAAAATGTGTAGCCATCCCATCTAAAAGTTTAAACTGTTAAGGAGTATACACTTTTCTTTAGTTAGTTATGTTTTCAATAATATTCAACCAATTCCAACATTATTTATCTTGCCTCATTCAATATTCGTTCCGCTGCATTGTCATCTCTACCGAGAAGTGATTCCGAGTAGGAACTGGAAATTACTTTGCACTCTTCATTAATAGAACCTTGCGCATGCCTCGCCAACTATTTATTCGGGCTTTACCCAAAAAAGTGCATGTACAATCAGGGGCGGATTTAGAGGAGCGGTCACAATCTCTTCTATTTTGAACCCCCTTACAGTTAATTCTGTCTCCGTCACCGTGTACAATATGTGGGGAATTTGTAAGAATATACTATTAAGATTACTCTTCGCTGCTCTTTGTTCCAAAAGCTGATTCTCGTAGAAATTCTTACGTAAGTTCTCATGAATTTCCCCCATCCAATGAGATGACACAGAGGAAGAAAGAAAAAGTCACCCAAAGAAAAGAAAAGAAAGATGAAGGACAATTCATCATAAGCAAGCATACAAAAAGTAAGACATGACATGACTTGAACGATATGTCCGTTTTATTTTTATATGATTGTTCGACTATGCATATGACGTTATGAGTGATTTTTAAAACTATGCTCCTAAACATTTCCAGACAAGTCGGGGTCATAAGAATATATCATTAAGGGTAAAATAAAAAATTTAAAATTAAAAGAGTTTTTTAATATAAAAATATGTCATTCTTTGCGAGAGAAGCTGGAAAAAAAGATGCCAAATACAATGAAACAGGCAGTGAAATATTCTTCGTTTCAAGAAAATAAATGAAATAAAGTCCAATAAATTTTCTTAAATCCAAGCGATCTTTGTTAGTAAACTGTATTTGTAAACTAATTCTGGAAAAGATAGAATAACATATAAACAGAAAGCGTAAACGAAACAAAAGTCAATCCGAGCCCACTGAATTCACAGTGTTTCCTTAAGGAATTTAATCCCCTCCTAGTACCCAAGGTTATGGATTATTTCCTCCCAGGATAGAATGAATTATACACTGGTGTAGTGGTACTTCAAACCCCAGTGTTTCAGCGAACACAAAGTACGGTAGCAAATCAAACTTATTGTTGCTCTCTTTGAAGATAAAACAATGCAGAAAGAAAAGAGGAGAACTAAGAAAATCGTATGGAAATTCTGAGAGAATGGACTTTTATTTATAGCCAATGTTGGACTGAAAACTGAAGGGGTGCAACTCTTCAGAATGGTTGTTTATGCAAAACGGCATAGCATAAATGCCATAACATAAATGGCTAATTTATGCAATAATAAACGGAAATTGAAGAGGGAGGTTAATTTTCAGTTATACAACCGAAAAACTGAAAACGGATAATGGAAAAACGTTTAATATTCCGTTGGATTTGATATTAATATTAATATTCTGTTATTAAACGGATATTTAATAACATTTCTGTTAATATTTACTATTAACAAATAAATTGGTCCACAAAATTAATCAATCAATGCCGAAGCCGAGCGACGACGACGACAACGCGAGGCTTGCCTTCTTCTCAACTCTTTAAGAGTTAGAAGAAGAGCAATCACTTATATACCCATCAAAAACTTCTTCCTCTTTCAATATGAGACAAGCCATATTAATGCTTAAAAACCCAACAATCTTTTCGTAGGTGTATGGCCCGATTCAATTGGGGGGAAGTATTTTAATTTTCAATCCTAATTTTGAACATTATTTTTTAATGTTATAAGACTACCAGCTCAAAGAAAAAGTTGTTTAGCTTTTCAAACAATAATAATGGCCCGTAAAGGGCAAAAGACAAAGTAAGGAGTCCGAAACTGAAATGATGCCATTTTGGGCATAAAATATGTTTTTACAGTTAAAAAAAAAGTTATATTTCTACATAAAACGCAGTATAATACTGCATTTTACCTTAACGAAAAGTTAGCCGTTAAAGTAAAACGCAGTATTATACTGTGTTTTATTTAATTGTTTGTTTTATTATAGGAAAATGCAGTATAGTACTACGTTTAAGGAAAACGCAGTATAATACTGCGTTTTCCTTATAATAAAATATAGTTGTCGTCTTCTTCCCCACGACAGAAGCAGTTTCCATTTTAAAAAACCCTCCCCCACCATTTCTGGTCCCCCCCTCCACGCGATTAAAAAAAATAAAAAATTCTTGGGCCCTACCTGTCACACAAAAGGTGAAGAGCGTAGGTCCCGCATACAACCCAAGCCTTGGATTCCTTCTTTCGGGGTCAAAATTTCAAATTTTCGATATTTTAAAAAACATAAATCGAGGTATTCCGATTTAGTTTATGTCGAAACTCGTAGAGCATATGCATATTTGTTTTTTGAATGTGTTTCCACGTTGATTTGTCTTATGTTTGCGATTAAATGTTTATGTTTTTTTTACCCGGATTAAATTATTAGTTAGTGTTTTTAAAAAATAGTTAAAACTTGAGAAATTATTTTGATTGTTAATGAAATTGTTCACAAATATCTTTTACTGTTTATATGTAATTTCGTGAATGTTATGTTCATATGTTTGTTGTTTTTATTTAGTTTAGATTATTTATTTGCTTAAAGAATAGTGGCCTTTTAGCGTAGTAAAATATAAAGCTTTTTATCGTAGTAAAATATAGAGCCTTATAGCGTAGTAAAATATAGAGCCTTTTAGCGTAGTAAAATATAGAGCCTTTTAGCGTAGAGTCTCTGTAGTTTTAAGTATGTACTAACTACAAATTCTATCCAATTACACTTTACAAAATTAATTATTTAATTTATAAAATAAACTTACAAAACTAACAAACTAATATATGTTGTCAAATTAAATATCGAGCGTGGAACTCATAGTTGTATACCCTGTCCAATTAAAAATTAATTATTTAATTTATAAAACTAACAAAATTCTAAAAATATTGAAATTGACACATAAAATAATTAAGGATAGCTTGGTGCTACTGAGCCTCAAATATCGAGCCTGGAACCCATAGATAATTAGTCTGTCTAATTAAAAATTAATTATTTAATTTATAAAACTAACAAAATTCTAAAAAGTGGTGCTACTGCGCCTCAAATATCGAGCCTGGAACCCATAGATAATTAGTCTATCTAATTAAAAATTAATTATTTAATTTATTATAACACAAACACACAATTAATATTGTTTAAATTACAGTAGACGACATGGACTTGCCGCCTGTGCATCCTGGACCAGCCGCGGATCAGATATTAGTGTTACAGGGCGACCATAGGTCCGCCTATGTATGGGAGGGACATTTATTGGATCAGACTCTCCGCGCTAGGAGACCGGATGACTTGTGGGACTTTTTGAGGGAGAGAGCTTTCCATGCCCGCGTACTCCATCGCCTGCGTGCTACGGGCTTCCTTAGGATTTTTGAGATTGGGCGGATGCAGCTCGATTGGTCTCTCATCACGGCGTTGATAGAGCGGTGGCGACCGGAGACGCACACTTTTCACCTGCCCACTGGAGAGGCCACCATCACGCTTCAGGATGTTCAGGTTTTGTATGGGCTGCGTGTTGATGGACTGGCCGTTGCACTGCCCCAGCATATAAGAGCTATGACGCGTGCCCAGTATTTGGATTTGCTGGGGCAGTATACTGGTTTCAGACCACAGGGTGAGGCTGCAGTTAGAGGGGGCAGTCGCATTTCTGTGGCTGCTATCAAACAGCATATGGAGGTATTGCACCCCGACATTACCGGCGAGACAGAGGATCTCCATATTGACCGGTACAGGAGGTTGGCGCTGTTCCTTCTTTTTGGGGGTGTCTTGTTCCCGAACACTTCGGGAAATCTAGTGAGTCTGCGCTTTTTGCATCATCTGCAGCAGCTAGATGAGTTACCACAGTACAGCTGGGGTGCTGCTGTTCTCTCATACCTGTACAGGAGTATGTGCCGGGCTAGCATGGGCACCCAGGTGGACATATGTGGTTTTCTACCGCTTCTACAGGTGACAACATTTTCGAATACTCTGTTCATTACTTCGAATTCTATATAGTCAAAATGACTCTTAAATTTTACGTCAACCTTTTATCTTAGGTTTGGGCCTGGGAGCGGATCCTGCCGTTGCAGCCACCTCTACCACCACTAGAGCCGGGTGTAGCACCACCGTTTCTCCCTCTAGCTACGAGGTGGGTTCTCCGGCGTGGGAACTACAGAGGCAGTGATGCTCATCATAATCTCCCCCTTGTCAGGGATGTGTTAGATATGTTGGTGGCTGGACAGGTAAATATGTACCTTACCTTAGTTGTTATAAATTCACTTGTGTTGCGCATACTCACTTTTATGTTATTGGTTGATAGTTCATCTGGACGCCGTACAACGACGAGTTGCTAGCTGATCTGCCCGATTATTGCTCGGTCGACCGACTGCTTTGGAGCACTTCCATCCCGATGATGTGCCTCGATGTGGTGGAGCATCATGCCACAGAGCGTGTACTTTGCAAGTTTGACCGTCCCCAGACTATACCGAGGGAGCCTGCATGGGTGGCTACACATTATCAGCGGGATGATCGTTCGAGGGTGGACGGCGAATTTGTAGGATGGCTAGAGGCGCAGATCCACATTTGGGACCAGCGAGAGGACTTGATTCTGCCACCACCTTCACAGATCCAGGAGGCGACTATTGAGCTCTATACGTCATGGTACCGCCGTCACACCCGACTGATGATCGGGAACCCCGTTCATGTACTTGGCGGTCGGTACAGACCATACGCCGGGAGGAACGAGGCACTGGTATGTTTTTGTGGAATAAGTCTTATAATTGTGATATAGCGTTATTTAATTAATATTTTAAATGTTGTGCAAGCTATTGGGCATCACATGTTCTACCACTTGGGACAGGAGATGCGACAGCATGGCGACAATGCTGCAGTCGTTGAGTATGGCCAGCGGGTGGAAGAGCTGGCTCTCCGGACCCTGCACCGAGCCAGAGAGGGCGCGAAGTTGGATCACGAGGCTGAGTATGCGGCGCCAGAGGAGCACCATCGGGGTAGGCCTGTCCCACGAGGCAGGGGTCGGGCACGAGCCAGGGCTGTCCCACGAGGTAGGGGTGCCCCACGGGGTCGCGGTGGACGGCGAGGAGGTGGTCCCCAGCAAGGGGGCGTTGAGGCACCTGTCGACCCACCTGTGGAGGCACCTGATGAGGATCTTGGAGATGATCAGCCGGGTTATTTGCCTCAGCTAGACGAGCCTTCCAGCAGCATGCCGTCGTACAACCTTCAGCTGGATCTGCCAGCATCGCAGGTCACCCCGTCATATCCATTGTCGATCACGGGTATATTCGACGGAGATGTAGACCAGTTCTTTTCAGGCACATCTACCGCAGCTGAGGATCGGACGACCCGAGATGTGGATGGCGGGTGCAGGTTGAGTTATGCCTCATCCCCGGCGGTTGATGCGGATCTACCACAAGCGCAGGTATGTTTGTATTGCTGTAAAATTTCAATTTGTTTTCTTTTCCTTAATGATTTGCCATAAATTAATTTTTATACTCAGGAGGCCGACAAGATCATGGTGAGAAAATATTTTTGACTTAACACGTACATTACTAGAATACATTTTCATATGCTAAGCTTAGTAATTGTTTTGTAGGTTGCTGACGGCCCGACGACCCCTTCTACCAATCCTGCCAGTTGTACTATCGATACTGCTGCGCATCCTCACATAAAGAGGCGACTTGATGATGATGATCCTGATAGTGTACCCGGGCGATAGGGGATGCGACTCAGGCCAGCGGCTGCACTGAAGCACACAGGCTGCGGGACTCATTGATTTATTTTTGTTTGTATTTTGTGTACATACTACATTATGTAAATAGTGGCAAGAATTGTGTTTTAACAACAATTTTATTTTAACACAATTTGAACAACAATTTTATTTTAACAGTACAACACAAACACAAACATAGCAAACCTAACATAACATAAATAAAACACATGACACGGGAAACATAAAGATACAGTAATACGCTCAACACGACCTCTGCCTTTGTTTAGCACGACCGCCTAGTATTCTCTGCTCCAACCACTTGAGTTGGTCTAGCAGCTTATTTTTTTCTTCTTCCACCTCCTTGAGTTTCTCCTTCAACTTCGCAACTACTCGTTTTGATTGTTCCCCTCTTTCCCACTGCTTCAAACACACACTATGAAGATGCTGCAACTTTTCTTTGTAGTATTCCTGCTCACAGGGTTCATCAATCCATACCTCAAAATTGCATGTAGGTTCGTCGGGTTGCCTATGAAACTTGTTCACACAATCCCAATAGCGGCGTCCAACTTCTTCCCAACAGTTGAAACTCATGCATTTTTTGCCATACTCGCACCTTGGGACATAAAGAGGTTGATGAGACATTGGTAAAATAGTAAAGAAAAACCTTGATTTTATGGAAATATTTGCTATTGATTATTGTTAAGCGCAGAACCTTGATTTTATGGAAATATTTGCTATTGATTATTGTTAAGCGCAGAAAATAAGTAAAATGCGCCCGTTATTTATAGGCAACACAACACAAAAAACACATTATAATACTGCGCTTTACATAGTAAATTTTTCTGAAACAAAACAACTTTTGCGCAGTCGGTTCAGCTTTTTCAGACCGACAAGACAAGACACAAAACGCATTATAATACTACGCTTTACATAATAAATTTTTCTGATACGAAACAGCTTTTGAGCAGTCGGTTCAGCTTTTCAGACCGACAAGACAACACACAAAATGCATTATAATACTGCGCTTTACATTGTAAATTTTTCTGAAACGAAACAGCTTTTGCGCAGTCGGTTCAGCTTTTTCAGACCGACAAGACAACACACAAAACACATTATAATACTACGTTTACATAGTAAATTTTTCTGAAACAAAAAACAATGTCTTCATTTTTTCTTTGTTATCTTTTATTTTCATGTTTGTTGCTTTAGTTATGGTTGTTGTGCTTTTATCTCTTCGAACATTATGTTGTGAAATTTCAATCTTTAGATCTGTCTTTTTTACTAACACCAATAAGTATAATGTTGGACTACCATATCATCATCCCAATTCAAATGTTCATGTTAAAAAATAAGATGTAACAAGACTGTGGTACATAATTTTATTTGATAGATATTGCAACATACACAAGTACATACACTTATTACAAAAATATTACAAAAATAAAGACTAGGTGTAGCCTTGATAGTTGGGTACATTCGACGAACTTGCACCAGGAGCTGAAGGACATTTACGATGGTCGTGTCCAGTTTGGGAGCATATGCCACATTTACGCGCATAAACGGTATCACCAACATCCATTTGGTTCCATATACGCGTTCTCTTTTGCACTTGCAGCTTGCGCAAATAGTCCTTGTTACACAGCATTTTAAATGGTTCCGGCGGCCAATAATGCTCAACACCCAATGGCTGCAACTGCCCACTATATGTGTTTACGTATGCAGCAACACTGTATTGCCTATCAACATAGTTGGTTGCCCCTAAACCAACTTGTTGAAAGCACTTCATGGCATGTGCGCACGGCATGTAGTAGATGGTCCATTTCCCACATGAACACAACCTGTTGGCTTCATTCACGGTGTGTAGATTATTCCCCCGGTGTCCGCGGATAGCGGTGCGAACTTCAGAAACACCCCGGTCGTGATCGTACTGTAAATATGAATGCCAATGTGCTCGCCTCCTGTATTTCTCAAATCTTCTCATCGATATTGGCATAAATTGAACACCCCTGTCCATCAATTCCGATGCAGCTCTATGCCTTTCAACAAACCTCTCCGCAATCTATTTGAATGTCATCCAGACCATGGCAGTGACAGGCAATCCACGTGCAGACTTCAATAAGCCGTTGAATGACTCCGACACATTTGTAGTCAAGGCTCCCCATTGTCTTCCACCATCAGCATGCAATATCCACTTGTGAAGCTCATGTCCCATCATCCAAGTATAGGCTCGTGGATCTAACTGTCGGATCGCTTCCATGCACCTCGTGAATTTGCACTGCCGATGCTCAGTTGCAGCCAACCACATTAAATTATGCAAGGCCTTGTCGGGATATTTCTTCTAAAAATTGGCTTTCAGGTGCCTCACACAGTAACGGTGGTATGCATAGGGTTCTTGCCATTCAGGCAAATACCGTACAAAACTTAAAATACCACCATGCCGATTGATATTAGACAAATACCTGAACGCTGTTTGACAACGTGCTGCTTCAAGTGGTTCAAAAAAGCGTCCACGTCTCTTCTCTTTAATTGGCAAAAATAACAAAAGCTAGTGAAAATATTTGTCCGTTGGCATCTACTGCAACTGCAATCAAAAGCTTAATATCATACTTTCCATAGACATGAGTACCGTCTATGGAAATTACAGGACGATAATGCACAAAACCATCAATTGCTGGTTTAAATGACCAGAACACATAGTTGAAAATATATTCGGGTCTGTCCGGACTCCGCTCACGCCTCCATTCAACAACAGTCCGGGGGTTAAAGTGTTGCAGTGCGGCCATGTACCTGGGCTGAGATGAAAAAGACTTATCCCAGTCGCCATAAATAAGTTCAAAGGCACGTTTGCGACCGAGATATGCCTTTCTTTTGGTTATAGTACAACCATACTCCTGGTGGACGGCTGTAATACACTCTTTAATCTTGAACTTAATGGACACTTCCAAATATGGAATCAAGACAAGAGAAATCAAGTCTACATCTAGGTTGAAGTGATTCTCATTGAATGTGTCCATTTCATATCTGTGGGTGCTAATAAATTTACCCACTTTCCACAACCCTGATTTCTTCTTGCTGGCACGCAACATCCAGTGACAACCCATAAAGTCTCTACGGCATACAGCCTTGTATACCTCCGTAGTTGACTCCCTTACCGTCATCTCACGGCACTCTCTTACGCTATAGATTTTTACAGCCTTGATTAGGAGAGCTTTATCGGGGAAATACATGCCCTTTGACAGCACCGCTGGTCTAGACTCATCCCACATTGCTGACCGAATTTCGTCATCATCCCTTGTGAGGGCATCCACGTCCGGCATACTTGGCAAATTATCAAAGTAGGGAATATTCCGCTCATGAAACGGCACGTGGGACTCGTACACTCTTGGTGAGGAGCATGCTCCCTCGTCAGCTCAGGTTCGGCATCCACTTCCTCCTCGTCATCACCCTCATCAGGGAAGGGTGTGTCATCTCCAGACTCATCAGCATTGTTGTCATAATCACTATCATCTTCCTGACTCTGCGCATCTTCTAAATCACGAGTCAATACGTCGTCTATGGGCAACTGTGTGAGGTCAGGAACGTCAAGTTGCTCGTTTTCACTGCACAAAAAGAACAAAATGATAAGCTACTCAACTAGATAAATACTTTACATATAGCTATATCACTTTACTTACAAGTTGTACTGTGTTGACGTTCCATGATGAATATTTTCTTGTTGGTGATGACTCCCGGATGGACCACCGTGGTCCAACACGCCAGAACTACGCATATTCTAACTAGGAGCGGGGGTCATAACTTGTAAAATTCATATCCGGACTATGAAAAATCTGAGTGTTAATACAAATCCAATTCAAACATAAAATAAATTTTAATTTAGGGTAGAAGAATTAAAGTTTACCAATCGTCTTGTGGATTATATAAAGTCGAAAAATTATTTTGTGGCTGCTCATTCGCTGGTGGTGACAAGTTTAAATCAAGGCAAGCTCTTTCATCAGCAATCTGTCCGGCAAAAACTGCTCCAGAATAACCACCCGATGACTGGGGGTTATCCCTACTATGCACACCCTCATTATTGGGAACGTCTTCAACCTTGACGTACATTTCCAATAATTTTATTACAATAAATTCCCTGTATTCATCCTGAATCCGCAAAAAATCTCTAAGAGTTTCATCATCTTCGATGTTAAACTCAGAATAATAAGCAAACCCCTGTGGAGTCACAGAATATGGAGATCTACCGGTTACTTTAAGGTTCACCGAACGTTTCCTCACACTCATTTTTTACGTAACAACGATACCAATTTATCGTACTCCATTGTAAGCGGCAATTTAACATGACACTGTGGAGGTGAGCTATACCTCACAGAGTTATTCTCCATTACAACCTCCCCCCCCCTCCCCCCCCAATATAATGGAACCCTAATTTTTGGCTCTTCAGACATTATAAACAAATGCTTGATAAGATGAAGAGAAGTATGAACGGAAGTTTGAAGGAAAGTTTTGAATGGATTTTCATAAAATTCTAACGCCTTTAAATAAGGCAAGTCCTAGCTTGGGGTGCAGAATCTTTTTATGTAAAACGCAGTATGATAAGACGTTTTATGTATTTGAATTATTGTCATGTCAGTTATCCGCAGAAATTTTATTGGTGGGCCCAAATTTTAGTGTAAAACGTATTATAATACTACGTTTTCGGTAAAACGTAGTATTATAATACGTTTTACACTAAAAAACAAATTATTTATGTCAGTCCTGCAGAACACTTATTTGGTGAGCCCAACTTTTAAGTAAATGCGTTTTACTTTAACGGCTTACTTTCCGTTAAGGTAAAAAGCAGTATTATATTGCGTTTTATGTAGAAATGTAACTTTTTTTTTTAACCGTAAAAAGGTATTTTATGTCAAAAAGACAGTATTTCAGTTTCGGTAAGTGGTTTCTGTACTAGATTTGCTTACTTGTAAATTTCAAGGAAACTATTTTGAACTCCTCCCATCAGATGAAGCAATCACATCAACGAGTTAATTGCAGTTGTATGGTAAGGAAAAAATATGTTTGACGGAATTTGACTAAACATAAAGCTTAAGAAAGAAATA